AGACGCGGAGTGGCCTCAGTTCGAAAGTTCGTGGCTTCGGATTGCAATTCTCTGGACCACTTCCGGGGTTTCTGGTCAAGTCTGCTACTAAGGGTGCATCGGGTAAGTGCCAGCCTCTTTGTGGGAAAGCCCAGGTTCAAGTCACGCGGCACGGAGCACTGACATAACGTTGCATCTGCCGGTGTCTTTGGACGGCGACTGTTGCTCCGACTTCAAGCTTTTCATGCAACCGACTGAAGCTGAGGGGTGCCCTGTTCCCGCGGGACTCCGCTGCGAATCTCCTGAGTTGGCCTTCGTAAGACCTCTTAACCTTAACGAGAGAACGGAATACCAACGACCGTGAAGAGGAGCCCAAATCAAGTGCAGCCCTCAAGATCACTGAGTGGAACACTACTGACGGGGTGGCCGCGATCACATCAGGGGTAGCAGGCGCCTGAACTCGGAGCCAAAACTCTGAGGACTGGAGGCGTGCTCGTATCAAAGACTTCACCCTTGAGCTGCAGCCTCAGTAGGCTTCGACTCCATGAGGATGTCCGTGGTCGGGGCAGTGATCACCTCCTGGATCGCCGCACTCTTTTTGCGGAGTTGGGGTTCAGGGTTTGGGATACCTCCGCTGACCACATCAAACGAATACGAGGCCTGAGTCTGCAGAACCAGAACAACAAACCCAAAACCCAACCCCTTAAACCGAATCATGAAACACAGCTTAAGCCTTAAGCCACGAGCGGGTTTCCGGGTGCCTCAGCAGCCTCGAAATCGATCAAGGGGGCCTTCCGTAGAATCGGCTGATTAGGTGTAGGGTCTAGGGTTTAGGGATTAAGGCTTCGGGTTTAGGGTTTGGGATTTAGGGTTTAGGAGGTCCGGGGTACAGGTTTGAGTCTTTGGGCCCTCGGGCTTGGGGGTTGTTGAGTCTGGGGCATGTTCAGGTTAAGGGTGCGAGGTTTGGGGTACAGGGCTGAGGGCCGTCATGTTAATCCAGGACTAGCTTCTCGCAGGCTTATCTTCCTGTACTACGTTGGCTAGATTCTTGTTGTTATGGGATAGAACATAGCTGCTGCAGAAGTGGTTAGGATTTAACATTCAGGGTCTAGGATTTCGGTTGCGCCCTTCACATCCAGTAACCCTCCGTGTAAGCAGGGCTCACCATGATCATGGAAGCCAAGAAACAAAAGCTCCAAGCAGCCACGCATTGATCCAATCGGAGTAGAGCTACAGCACCCTTGCTAAACGATATCGCTATTCACGATGATTGTTTTCTTAATGTTGTTGACTACCATCATAAGAAGGTTCGGGCCTGTTCCTGTTGAACAGGAGCCACTGGAGCAGATACTGGGACGGTGGCAGCCTGAGTGGAGGGGGCGGGCGCTGTTCGATCGTGATTGAACTAGAACGGCCACTGAAGCAGGCACCGCCCGATTTGTTTTGGCGGTCGGGTCTTCCCACATCTAAATCCGTTGCTGCCCTTGGGTGCTAGATTTATGGATGGCTTAGCTCGATGCATGTTGCTGCAGTAACTAGACAAAGATGCGAAACAGCCAACATGCGAGGATCTGCCAAACTTCCTGCATACTGCTGCGTCTGCCTGCAGGGACTTTGGCGGCTATGCTACATGGCTTGCCCCTGCATCTCTGGCATGTGCCAAGCCAGCTAACTGCTCAGCCCTCGGCCGGCACCGCGTAGGAGGCCGGAACGAGCACTGCCCTGCACTGGACAGAAGCCTGCATCCGTCAAACGGGGGGCGGTTCAGGTCCCCTTCGGCAAAAGTCTTCCAGATTCTACCAGTAGCGTCTACTCCAACCTCGACCCATGGCTTGCAGGGCTTGCAGGGACTTGGGATCCGCACGCGAGGCTTTGGCGTGCCCGTGCGCGAAGCAAAGGCAAGGCCTCGGACGATAGCTGAGGCCGTGGGCAGCAACTTTCCCCCCGGGTGGAGTGTCAATATGCGAGGGGGGTAAGAAAACACCAAAAGCCTCCGGGCCCCGAACAGAGCAGTGCAGTAGCAGCGCTGGCGCGGAAAAGAAGATCCGCCTCCATGCAAGCAGCAGGGTCGGTACAAAAAACTATCCTCTATTTGTGTATGCTTCTCTCTCTCTCAATATATATATATATACATATACATACTGATATCTTTGTTCATATTCATTTACATACATACTCACATACATACATGCATACATACATACATACATACATACATACATACATACATATACATATGTGTGTATGTATGTACGTATGTATGTGTGTGTATATATATATATAATATAGATGCATGGATGTATGCAT